CCCCCCCCCCCAAATTTATGGCTAATAAAGTTAAAAATATGTCCATGTAAAAGTACATATTCCTTCGATCTTCTAGTTTGATTCTCGTAGATCTGATGAGATGAGAACAATTTTGAAACGAAGAATGGGTATGTTCGCGACCCAATATAGGAGTGTCTTTACATACGCGTTACATACTAAACAAACTGTTGATTCAAGGCTGATAGATAACATTAAAACGAGCAGTTCTAGTATACAGAACTATTACAGAATGTCGCCGGACTGGCACAACTCGAAAGGAGGTCGATAGCGAAGCGAACGCAAACGTGGAATATATTTTTATTCCGCGTTTTCAACTTGTTTTCTCGCGAGAAATTCGGCCCCTTTTCGGTAGTACATCCCGCCGATTTTAGAGACACTCTAGTAGGTAACTTCGACCATGTTCCGATTAATCTTTCAAGCGATATCTTTCTCTTAACGTGGATATAGAATTATTCGTTTTTCATTGCATAACGCACAAGAAGAAAAATTAAATCAAGAAGGGTGAATTATACAATTGGAAATTTTGCTGTTTAATGTTAATTTCCATCAATGTGGATTAACGTTAATCTCGGTTCAACTTAATTTTCATCTTTTTCTAATTCTGAGAACCAGAAAAGGATAAAAAGTAAGTTAAACCGAGATTATAGTTAATCTATCATTGATGGAAATGGACGTGAGCAATCAAATACCGATTGAATTAATTAAACTTAATCGGAGTTCGGTCTCAGCTCTCTGTATTATTATGCAGCCAACAAATTGTCTCGAATCTCTCGCCTAGCTGCAACACGAAAGTCTCCACTTGTCTCTTTACAGAACCGATGCTGAAGGCGAAGTGGAAGGGCCTGCGGGACACGTTCCGCGCCGAGCTGAAGAAGGACCAGGTGTACCGCAAGAGCAAGTTCCACCGGAACCGGCCGGTATGGATCCACTTCAAGAGCCTGCAGTTCCTCAAGGAGCAGATGCTGCCGCGGCCGCCGATCTGGGAGCGCAGCATCCCGAAGACGGAGGACGAGCTGCAGCCGAGCGAGGGCGAGGGCGAGAACGGCGTGCCGACTTCCGGCTTCGACGGCGGCCTCGATCCGCGGGACGCGATCGCCGATCATCTGCTGTCGATGGCCGGCGACGGCCGTCATCATCACCATCACCACCATCATCATCATCAGCTCAAGCTGGACGGCGACGGCCGGCGCGGCACGGTCGACGTGAAACGCGAACCCGAGGAGAGCTTCGACAACCTCGAGTTCCAGAGCGTCACCGACAATCTCGCGGACAACGAGATGATGCTGCAGAACATCTCGCCGGAGCAGGTCCTGATGAGCGACAGCGACGCCGGCGTCGGCCTGACCGGCGTCGATCCCCTCGAGGCCGGCTGCCGCTTCGACGACAACTATTACTTCCTGATGAGCCTGCTGCCGCACATCCGCACCCTGCCGGCCGACCGCAGGATGCTGCTCAGGATGCAGATGCAGGAGCTCGTTTACAAGGAGGTCTACAAGAAGGACGCCGACGCCGAGCAGACGGCCAAGACTTAACTACCGTCGCCGTCGTCGTCGTGTTAAACCGGGACTCCCTGTTTTTTCGCTGTCGAAAACGAGAAATCACGCGAATTTTTCCGTTCGCGTCTATGCGTCGAAGTAAATTGGCTTTTTCTCGCCGTCATTCGGTGTTCGTAATTCAGGGTGACTGCGCACGGAGGAAGCGGGAGCCTCGAAGGATTCGTAAGATCGTTCCTAGAGAGATAGAGTCCTCGTTTACGTGGATATGCAGAGTGCTTCAGAAATAAGTGATCAAATTTTAAGAGAAACTCACAATGAAGTCAAAACGACGTCAATATGATAGCAAAATGACCTAAAAATCGTCATTTTGATTTTATTGTGACTTATTGCTGTTCTATCTGAGATCCTTGTGAGAGTAAGGATCGAAAAAAAAGAAGCAGCATTCCTAAAGTTTGGCCTGTTTCTGAAACGCTCTGTACAAATGAAAAGTCCATATTCCTCGAAGAGCGACCGCAGATCTTCAGAAGCTGGAACATTTTGTGATTTACTTATTTTTTTCCCACGCAACGCCGCCGTCGAAAATGGAAATCAAAACTGTTGCAATGCAAATCCATGTGTTATTGTTAGACGCATGTCTAATGTCCATTTCTACTAATGCAAATTGACTTTAACCTTGATTTAATTTACTTTTTATCTTTTTTTAGTTCTAAGAATTAGAAAAATGACACATTTAATTGGAAGCTCTTTTCACATATGTTTCTTGCGTGTTACATTACGCCATTCAATCGTGTTAAATTAAAAGTTAATACTTTAAAAATAACACTTTGGATTTGCAGTGTCAATAAGTGACCTCTTCGCGTATTCATCGGAGTCTGGAGCCAGGTTGCGGGATAAGGTCGCATTCAAGGCTTTCGAAAAGAAAATAAGAAGGGGAAGCGCTCCTCCGTTTCTTTCGGGCGAAAGACTTTTGTAAAAGAATCGCTCCCGCCGCAAGTCCACGTCGGCACAATGCGCGAGTGCGCCTGCATAGGTCACCGGTGTACATACATATATATATATACGCGCGATTCGACGTGCAGTTCTAGGTAGGTCATCAACCGGGTCGCCCCAGCGTTGAACGCTCGCGCTCAACGCGCGACTCCACCAGCGGCGCGGGCGACGCGGCGCGCCGCGCGGCGACACGGTTGAGCGACACTGGTGCTTTCTCGTACCTGGCGGATAATATACACGGCCGTGACGCACACCTGTGCGCGCCCTCCCGCAGTCGGTGCGCGTCCGTGCGACGTACCGGGTCGTGGTGTGGTGTGTGCTCGGCGAGCGCATGCGCCCTCGCCGTCGGCGGCTCCACGATCGAGGTCCCCCCCCGACCGAGCTCTCGGCTCTCCGTCGACCGTCGCTTTCGCGCGACTCCGCGTCTCCGCGTCTCTCTCGGAGGCTCTCAGTTCGCCGCCGCGTCGCACACCGTTATCCCGGTCGTCGTGCGTCTACCTGCTACCTGCCCGCTGGCTCTATCCTACGCGGGCTCCCGGCTGAACCACTCGCGTTTCTCTCTCGGAAGTCCCCCCCCTTCCACCCCGGTTTTCCGTCGTTTCCGTGCGCGAGCACAGGTGTCGGAGTCGCACCGGATACACACGGGATATAAGATATAACACGTCGCCGATATACGCGGCCTGCCGCGATACCTGCCGCGCTTGCTGCTTGTCGCCGCACCACCGTCGACGCGAGGTGAGTCAAGTTCCAGGAATCTCCCAGGAATCTGGGGGGGATCTGCTCTCGGGGTACGCGGAGCGACCCGCGCGAGTGGACCCGCCAAGTTCCGGAGAATCCTTCGGTGTCAACTCGGAGCTGACGGTCACAGGATGCCGATGTATCTTCGTCGTTGAGTGTCAACGGGGGCCGAATTCGAGGTCCCGCTGACCCTAGCAGCACAATTTTATCGCAGCAATATATTGTATACATCCAATTTTTATGTCGAGCGTAGGCTAATTTCTCATAGCGGTCCAATATTGCGAAGGAGACGCTCTCTCCTTTGGAGCTAATATTGCCAGTGCACTCGCATTTTATTGGTAAGCAACATTAATTTTGCACTGGGAAATATTGACCAAGACATTCCCAATATTCAGCCAACATGTTGCCGATGTATTGTGCTACTAGGAGAAGAGGGACTGTCGCGTCTTTCGAGAAGCTTAATTCGGAATAAGAAGGATGAGACATATTTCTATCCTCGATCTCTGTTCAAAGATTGCTTCCAAAGATGTTCTAAATATTCTTGATTCGGCCCCGAGTTGACCGAAGAGCGCGACAGAATGTCTTATACGCGCCTGAAAAGCGAGCGAGTTGGAGCGGATTTCAATGATTCGTTTTCCTCTTTTGTTGACGTCGCGCGAGCGCGTGATCGGACGCGATTTTGGCCGTTCAACGCGCGCCGTTCCCGTAAATTCCACTGTACAGACCTTCGATCGTCCTAATCGTCTTCTCTCGTGGCCCGGCATCAGTTTTTGTAACATACGTGTCCTAGCCCGAAGAATTGCGTTCATTTCCACGTGTGTGTATGTGTGTGTGTGTGTGTGCAATACGAGCGCGTCCAGTTTGGAAAAATAGAGCGCGTTTCGCTCGGTCTCTAGTCTCTAGCGTTTAATCCTTTTAGCGCATTTCTTGATTGTGAAACCGCCTGAGAAGTAAAGAAAGGAAAAGAACCGAATGTGTTAAAAAGATATTATTTTATTAAAATAAAGAGACTTTTTTATTACGTCACTTATTCATCCAATTTTATTGCGTCATTTCGCCGTTGTGGGCAGAAGTGTTCAATCGGACATCCACGCGAGGGTAAAATGGGAAATTTTCTAAACGCGTTTTAATGCCCATTTCTATACCAATGTATAATAGATTAACTTTAATCTCGGTTTAACCCACTTTTTATTTTTTTCTAACTTTCAGAACTAGGAAGGGATAAAAAATGAGTTAAGTAATTGAAGTTAACTCACATTGGTAGAGAGATGGACATGATCGGCAAAGAAATTCTTACACGTCACGACTTTTAGACGTCACGAGTGTGTGATAAAAAAGAACGAGGAACAAAGCGCCTCGTCTTACGACGAGTGCGAATAAAAACTGGTATTGCTAATCGGTAGAAAAACAAAAGCGAGTCGTAACAACTTCGGAAGTAACATGAGTTCCAATAGCCCTAAGCCCTAAGAAATTGACCAATCACACTCTCCTCAAATTCAACTGTGATTGAACAATTTCTTAGGGCTTAGGGC